TGGGTCACAGTTAGGCGCCTCATCCACCAAGCCAAGCTATTGTTTGTGATTCAAACTTGTTCTACGTAACAACAAGAACTCATTTGGACAGTTAATAAACATTTGCAATGCATGAAATTAATTATATGAATGTTTGAAAGAAAAGCAAATCGGAGAAGATGAGTATGCTTGTTTCAAGCATCAATGGCCATGACTTTCTACTTATTCTTACCCTTAGCTACCTCAGGAATGATTTGTAATTGATGGCTTGGACTGAAAGTGGTTGGATCTTCGGTTTTGACTTTGGACTAGTTTTGACAGAATTTGAGGTTTTTAGAGAGTGTTCTTGGGCAGCCAATTTCATGCTCCCTAGTGTATGAGGGTGTTGTGTTTATATAGAGGAGAAATTAAGGAATTATGAAAATTTGATTTGATTTTGGCCTTGTATGATTTCTTTCCAAAATAGCTCAAATCATGACTTTTTCAATCTAAATCATCCTTGCACGAATTACATGCCATGCTAGTTGTATATGGACTCATAATATGCACAAAAATCCCAAGATTTGATTTGCTTTTATTATTTTACCATTTAATTTGATTTATTTTGGTTTAAATGAATAAAAAATCAAAATAAATGATGAAAATAATAAAATAATAGGTGGAAAAGCTCAAGAGTCGTGGGTCCTATTAGAAACATGTTTCAAACAAGAAAACATGGGCCCCTTTGGAAAAATGCAAATTTGATCAATGTTGACTTTTGACAATTTTCCAAAAATTGCCAACTTTGACAATGCACAACTCTCTCAATTTTGACCCTAGGAGGGTGTTCTTGGACTTTTTAGAAAGCTTAGGACGTCCTCTAAATAAACCTTTTGGTTTCATCTCAATTGGATCTTCCATGTTCATGTATGAAGCTTTGACCCAAAAGGTGTTTTTGTTGACTTTTCAAAAGGACCTATAATGTCAAAATTCATATCTTTTTATGAGTGCATATTTTGAACTTGAGCGTAGAAGATGAATTGTAGGGAATTGCATCCTTTTCAAAATGAGCATTGGATGGAAAATTTATGATAAAGCTTGTGGAAGTTATGCTTGGTCAAAGTTGGGTTGACTTTTACTAAGAAACCCTAATTTAGCAACTTTAGGGTTTTGATGAATTTGGAGCATTCCTTGAGGAATCATGATAAACCCTTGATCAAATGATGAAAGTCACTTCAAAATGTTGATGTTGACCAAAAATCTTGAGGTTTGATTGTATATGGGCCACAATTGACTTTTGACCTAATACAGTCGATTCTCAAGCATTTGAGCAGTTGACTGAGCAAACTTCTTTGTGTAAGGCATGAAACTTGACATGGATGATCTTGGGAACATATTAGGACCTTGGGAAGCATTTGAGTCCTTTGTGGTTCACACATATTGATGAAAAGGGAAACCCTAATTTGAGGTATACTGCCTTAGGAGAGAGTTTGTCTGGTCAACTCTTGGACTTCCTTGAGCAACTTGGGGACCTCAATTGACATTTTTTGAGTAAAATGGGAGGGCAAATTTTGGGGTACAACAGCTAGTTCTGTGATATGGTGGCAGAACCGACTGTTAATACTGGTTTGCATTTTTTGTTTGCAAATGTCGCAGTAAGCAAGAGTCGTCACTGACTTTTATTTCATCCAATCATGGAAAAAGAAAAAGAACAGAAAAAACCTTTTTTCGAGATATTCTGAGTACAGGGGGTAGATTATAGAAAGGGAAGATGTTATCACCCTTTCTATCCATGGTTTTCCATGGGCTCTTAGGCACTTGCTCATTTTTAAATTGCTTGTGTGTGCTTGCTTTGAAAAGTTTTGTTTTACTTCGTTTTAACCCTTGTTTCTGTCCTCAAGAGTGTTACGAAGTTGCTTTTGAAAATTGTTTTGAAAGGTGTTTGTGTGAAAAGTTTTTATTGAGCAAGTACTTAAGATTCTACCTACTCGAAAAAAGATTGTTTGTTCTCGTTTCCTTTAGACAGTGCTATCCTACTATTAAGGAGTAGGTAGCATCGTCGTTGGACTTGTAAGGGAAATTCGAAAGGGACAAGTACAATCACTAAAGCAATAGTTAGAAAACTTTAGTAGTAACCCTAGAGCCTTAAGATCTTTCCGAGGCAACATTTCTGAGGCAATATATCTGAGGCAACATTTTGATCTTTTAGGATGGAGAGCGACCACTAAAATTTCCTATGCTTAATGACTGTTTACCGAAGGCAACCGTAGTGAGGCAAACCCTAGGAGTGAAACATGTGCATATGATTTGTTTCAATTATTTAATCATTGCACATTAGGTGATCTACCGTTTTAATTTTCCAGACATTCTTGCTATACAATCCTATTAGCCATACATCTAGACAGTTAAAGATTACGGAAATTAAAAGCGGAAAAGTAAATCTAATTATTACAAGGCTTCGGGGAATGGGGATTACATAACCAAAACTCGGGGGAAAATTAAACAGTAAATAAAACTCTAGTTTAAAAGATTATTACAACCTCAGAGCAATTACAAAAATATAATGAAAAGTACGTACGACAAACGTAAATGCGAGAAATTATGGTTTTGACCATTGAAAACCAAATTGAATTTAATTAAAGAAAAAAAATCATTTTTTGTCATTTTTATTTAAGGAAATAAAGAATAAATTTCAAAATATCCTAATCACTAATTAAAGAATCAGTGTGGGCTTAGTATGCTTACAAGGAGCCTGTGGCAAAGACAGAACCTTGCTGCCTCCAAGCCTCAAATGAAAGACAGAACTATGTTGACTTCCAGGCCCAGACGAAAGGCATGCCCACACTGATTCCAACCCCCAGTCGAAGGAGACAGAAAGGAAAATCGAAGGGCATGACTCCAGACCCCAAATCGAAGTAAGCCAAAAAACGCAGAATCGAAGGGCGCTTCTGCCTGAATCGAAATACCCATTTTTCTTGCCTTTATTTTATTTTTGCCTTTATATTTTCATGATATTCAATATGGTTGTAATAGTGTAGGGTTTTATCTTTTTACATTTTATTACTTTTGTATGCTTGCTAGTAAAATAGGGAATGTATGGCAAGATAAAATCAACAAGTAGACAATCCCTAATCAAAGACTAAATGCATGCAAATTAAACACACTATTCACACATGCACCCCTAGGGTAATTCCACTTGTTGCCTTATAAAAATTGGCCATGTTATGCATGTGAGATGTCTTAGCAAAAACAATCAAAATACAAGATCATAGTCCCTCGACGACGCTACGAATGTTGCCTTACAAATGATCTTAGTCCCTCTAGATAAATGCTAAGATATCTCATAACATTGTTATCATGACTATACGATGATTCACTTCCGTCCCTTTTACATCCAAAGATAAAGATTTTTACCAATCAATGGCAAGATAACAACATCTAAAGGAGGATGAGAAGAACAAAGACTTTCGAGTAGATATAAACGTTCTTAGTGGCTTGCTCATTTTCAAAACAAACATCTTTCTAAACCCACACTAACACTTTCAAAACATGAAATATTTTTAAAAAATTCAAAACTTTGTATACATTCTTATAGAGACACGAATCATTACAAAGTTTGCCTAAACGAAGGTGCTTTTCAAAAATACTTTCAAAAACCACCACAAAATACATTTTCAAACAAAGCAAGTGATCTAGCAAGCAACTAAGAGCCCATAGATAACTATGGATGAAAATGGTGCTAGCACCTTCCCTTTTCATAATCTGCCCCCGAACTCAAGAAAATAATCTCAAAGGTCTTTCCTAGTCTTTTCACCCTTTCCTTTATTGGATAAAAGAAAAGTCGGTGACGACTCTTGCTATCAGCAACAATTACGATAAAACGCAAAACATCCCAAGTCAGTTCTCCCACCGTATTACAAGTAGCCATAAGTATCAGATTTGGAAAAGTTGCATGGTGGCAAGTGCAGCGGTGGAAAAATTGTCGGGATTAGCCAGATTGAAGGAGGCATTTTTGCCGATAAGGCTAGTTTGTCGGAAGGTCCCCGAAATTAGTAGCGGCAGATGACGGCAGAAGTCTGGTGGTTACCAGAGAATTTTGGAAAGTGAGAAGTAAACCGAAGTGATGACACGGTTTGCAAAAAAAAAATTATCACTGGAAGACAGTGGATCAACCAGGTAAAGCACAACGAAGAATTGCCTCTTAGTAGGCTCTAGATACCATATTGAATTAGGAGAGATTAAGAGACATTTAAGTTAAACCGTGCATTTTAAAAGCACTACGAAGACTTCATTATATATAGAGAGATTACAACTAATTACATGATATAATTGATGTGTGACTATTCCACATATAAATATTCTTAATGTTATATATTTACAAGTATCAACACATCTCATCTCATACCTTCTTGCATCTTTTCTTATGTAAGTTCCTTTTCTTGTTATAAGTATCATCATGGCCTCATCAAACCAAAAATCTAAAATGCCACCAAAAAGAGATATCATTATAATTGCAATAATGAATAAAAATGAAGAAGACGAGAAGATGGTCCTAGAGAAGATCATATAATTATGGTTTATGGATTAAACTTTCATGAGAAGTTATAAAATCTATTCTCACACCAGTTAAATCTCATTAAGAGCATTCTTTTCAAAATCACCGACAAAATCTTTTCAGATCTAATAAAAGAATTCTACACAAATCTAAATGTTATTGGAAAAACCCCGACATCATATGTAAAGATTAGAAAGTTAAAAAAAAAAATTATAAAAAATAAAAAACTTACCATTCCAACTTAGTCTAATGGGGATTTATTTTTACATAGCCTTATCGAGTGAGTAAAAAAGGATTGTGAATTTTGATTATGTTTTATTAAATAGAGTAAGCGAGAGCAAAGATAAATAGACGAAAGCATATTGAATAGTGTTTATAATCAGTAAAATAATTAGAATTAGGAAGTATTTTGGTTTTGAATGCAATGGTTGTGTAAGAATTGTGGAATAGAAAATAGTGAGATTTGGGGGAAGTAGCAAGTGGAAGAATGGAAGGCGGAGATATGGATTCACTGTTTGAGGGGATGGTGTTGTTCAATTCTCAAGCAACAGAAGAAGCAGTATCATCGAGTTCCCAACCCCTTGACGAAGATATCTTCTCTGACCTCACCCTCGTTGTAGATCCCGCCGACGACGATCATCTTCAATCTCAATCTTCCCAAAACCAGCAGCCCAGAAGGAGAAAACGATCTGGCTTGAGAATTGGATACGGTAGAGACACAGTCGATGTCGATGTCGATATCGATGCGGATCCTTCTCCGCTGCCCCAACATATTTCTGCTTTCCCTGCTCATGATACCCCACCATCTAGTGCTACTGAATCGATCACTCCTGATATTGATGCTGATGCTGTTAGTGTTACTGTTAATACCCAACCATCTAGTGCTGATGCTGTTAGTGTTAGTGTTAATACCCAACCATCTAGTGCTGCTGGCAGTGATTCAGCAGCACAAGTCGAAACTTTTTCCGAGGAAGGCTTCCGCCAAATTAGGGACACAATTCATGACAAGCTTAATCATGCTCGTCAACTCGTCACTTCTGCATCTTCTGCACGAAAGGATGCGGTCAGGAGTAGGAGAAAGGCCCAAGAGAATGCAAATCTAGCTTCTCTCAAATACATGGAACTTGAAAATCAATTGGAACAAGCCTGTGAAGCTGAAGATTTTGAAACCGCCGAAAAGGTTAGCCAATACCTCTCTGCCGCTGACAAGGAGAAACAAATCTTTGCCACTTCATTGAAACAAGCCGATGCCTTTCTCGCTGCTTTAGATTTGAATTTGCAGCAAGCCCTTGAATCTCACATAGCTGCCCAGGAAGAATGTGCAATCTTACTCCACCATTATGCAACGGTCAGTGAATCAAGTTCTACACTTACACTTTTTTACATTCATCAATCCTACTAATTTGCTCTTGTCTAAATCATACATACATGCACACATTCATATCTTCTATCTAGCCTTGTGGGTTTCGATACACCTATGGTTTCAATCCCCACCCCATGTACTAGATTTGTTGTTGAATTCTCCATTCTCCATTCTCCATGCTCCATACCCAATGGGTCTGCTAGTCATTGCTGTCTTGAAAAATTCACCTTAATTGCTATCACCCTTGCACTCTGTTACTGCAGCCTCTGTTTAGTGGCCGAGCTTACTCATGAATTGCTCATAAGGCTTCACTTTTCAACCCTAATTTCTAAGAAAACCCCCGTGAAGATACCTTGACTTAAGTTCATGATGTTCTCCAGACTATAATTTAAGCTGCTGTGGGATCTCTAGATTAGGAAATAAAATGCAGATGATGATACTTAATTTCTGCATTCATCTGTTGCTTCCAGATGAGGAAAAAAATGCATATCCATAATCAAGTGTGTTATGACATTTTTTGTATAACTTTGCATTTATTTACTGACTTATTTCTTAAGCCTTCTCATTTAAGTTATAGTTGGAATTTCTAACATGTTTATATTTCCTTTTCTAGAATGCTGTAAATAATGCAGATTTTTCCATCAAGAAAGCAACATTGGTGCATTCAAAAGAAATGGAACAATGGCTTTCATCATCAGAAGCCTTGGAGGTTAAAAGGATGGAGTTGGAAATTGAATCACATTTTATTAGTGAAGCTCATACAGAACTTAATAACAACATTGAGCATTCAGTTGAGGATGATAAAAAAGAAAAAGAGATCCTTTGCAAAAGAAAGAGCATCCTAATGGGTGAATTGGAAAACCTTCTTGCTTTAGTAAAACAGAAAGAAAAAGAGATAGCTGACAACGATTCTGATTTAAAAGCAGTAGACCATAAGATAAATAATGCTGTCTCTGGATTTAAAGAGATCCAGTCAACTATTGATGTGAAGTATGACAAATTGCAATCTGTCCTTGCTCAAGTGAAATTAGAGACTGAAACTTTGTCACTGAAGAAAGACGAAATTGACAACTTTCTCGTTCAGGAAGAAGGAATGGGAGCAAAACTTAGGGAATTTGCCAGGGTTTCTGAGGAGGAAGCTAAAGGATATATGGAAATAGTCAAATTAAGAAGAAGTTTGATGTCATATATATTGAAGTCTGGGGAGGATAAAATGAGACTTACAAACAATGAGGAAAAGCTTTCTGGAGACGTGAAATTGTTTCAACAGGAGGTTTCTGCTGCCAGAGCTTCCTTGCAGGTTAATTCTTGTACCTATTTTTGTGTTTGGCTTCCTTGCAGGTTACCTCTCTTACACTTATTTTGTGTTTTGAATTGTGCAATTGGCTAAAATGTGATGAATTATGTCAAAACACTCTCAACCTTTAATTTGATGTTATATCCAAGCTAAGTTAGATCAAATGCAAGTAGCTTATTCTTGTGTTTTCATCTTAAACAAGCAAACAAATGTCTTTTGATGTTTCTTTTTTCTCTGAAAATATTCTTTTGATCGTTATCCCTAGATATAATGGAATTGTCTCAGAACACATGTCGAAGAGTGAAAAACTTTTTTACCTCCCACGGTGGCATTTCTTCTATTTCTATTTTTATTTATTACTATGTTCTGTACTAATGATAAGTGAAAGGATTGTTTACTGATAAATGAAAATCACCTTCCAAAAGGAAGAAATCAAGTACATTGCGGGAAGAAATAAAAACTGAATGTAACAGAAGAATAATCAGAGAGAGAATAATGATCACACACAAACCCAATATCCTCCTTATTCTAGATCCTCCTATATATATATCCTTTCAAACGTGAATTTGGTGCACGCACCCTGCACCCTCTTCTCACTCCCCCATCTGCGGAATTGGTTGCAACAGAATTTGCTGAGTCATCATTTATTCCCCCTCACGCCAGCTGTCGGTTTCACTACAATACCTCCCCCTATGAAATCAATCTTGTCCTCAAGATTGAAAAGCGGATAATTCTGTTGCATATCTTTATAGTTTTCCCACGTAGTCTCTGGTATATCACCATCCTCCCATTGAATGAGGACTTGTGGAATTTGTTGATCTCCTTGTATGATAATCCTGCCATCTAACAAACCGCCGTTGGTTGAATGATAGGGCCATTTTCTTTTGTTGACAGGGGCATGGGCAAATATGGTTCTTGTGAGTCTCCTTTGAAGGGTTTCAACTGTGAGATATGGAACACTGGATGAATCTTAGCTGTTGTGGGCAATTGTAACTTGTAAGCCACTTCTCCAATTTTTTCCAAGACCGCAAAAGGGCCAAAGTACCTCATAGACAACTTGTTATTTTTTTTCAAGGCCCCAGATTGTTGCCTATAGGGCTGAAGCTTGACTAATACTAGTTCTCCCACCTCTAACTTCCACTCTCTTCTCTTTTTATCAGCTTGTTGTTTCATTCTCTGCTGTGCCTTCATCAAATTAGCCTTGAGCTGTGTAATCACCAAATCTCGCTGCTGCAATTGTTCTGACACTGTGGGCGAATCTGCCGAGTTATAGTTATATCTTACTAGTGTTGGTGGTTCTCTCCCATAGAAAGCCTTAAAAGGTGACATTCCTGCACTTGTATGATAGGCTGTATTATACCAGAACTCTGACCAAGCTAAGACTTTATACCACCCTTTTGGATTGTTGAAAGTGAAGCACCTTAAGTACATCTCTAAACACTTATTCAAGGCTTCCGATTGTCCATCCGTTTGAGGATGGTATGCTGTGCTCATAGCTAGAGTTGTGCCTTGTAAGTTGAAAAATTGTTTCCAAAAAGCACTAGTAAACACCTTGTCCCTGTCAGACACAATCGACTTCGGCATCCCATGCAATTTCACTATGTTTTCCATAAATGCTTCAGCTACCGATTTACTGCTGTAGTCAGATTTTTGTGGCACAGAATGACTATATTTGGTCAACCTATCAATGACAACCACGTTGACTGTGAATCCATGGGAGTTCGGTAATCCGGTAATAAAGTCCGTTGCCACATCTTCCCATACTTGATTGGGAATTGGCAGTGGTTGTAATAACCCTGCAGGCACCACATTGACTGCTTTTGCTTGTTGACAAGTTACACATTGTAACACATACATTTTAATGTCCTCTTTCATCTTTGGCCAATAGAATTGCGACTTGATTCTAGCCATAGTTCGGACCACCCCAGCATGCCCTCCTATTGGAGCATTATGGTACTCCTCTAGTATTTTCTCTATTAATCCTCGAACCATAGGGATCACGATTCTGTCTTTCCAGAACAATAGTCCATCCCTGGATGTATAATGCTCCTTTGTGCTACCTTGTTGGCTGATATTAATGAGTTCCTGCAATGTGTCATCTTTCCTCAATTCCTCCCTTAATTCGTGTAAAAATTGTGTTTGAGGCTCGGACCAAGCGAGCATCAATACTCTTGATAGCGCATCTGCTGCAACGTTTTCTTTGCCGGGCTTGTACTCAATTTTGAAGTCAAACCCCACAAATTTGTGTAACCATGCCTGCTGCTCCGGGGTCTGTAGTGACTGATCTAACAAGTTCTTCAAATTTTTCTGATCAGTTTTGATAACAAACTTATGCCCAAGTAAATAATGTCTAAACTTTGACAATGCCTCTGTAATTGCCAACAATTCTCTTATGCATGCTGATTGTTTCTGTCTTCGTATTGAGAGCTTTTTGGAGAAGAATGCGATGGGATGACCATTCTGGCTCAACACAGCCCCAACTCCTGTGCCTGACGCATCTGTTTCTATAGTGAACGGCTGTGTCAAATCTGGTAATATGAGCACCGGTGCTGTAGTGATAGCATGTTTCAGCTTAGTAAATGCGTCTTCTGCCTTTTCTTGCCACACAAATGAATCATTTCTTAACAAGTCAGTCAAAGGACCAGCAATGTGAGCATATGCTTTAATGAACCTCCGGTAATACCCTGTTAAACCTAAGAATCCCCTCAATTGCTTAACATTGGTAGGTCTAGGTCAATCTCTCACCGCTTAGACTTTATTGGCATCTATGGTAACCCCTGTTCCTGACACTATATGCCCCAAATAATCCACTTCTCTATGACCGAATGAACATTTGGACAGTTTCGTAAAGAGTTAATTTTTTGTTAAAACTTGCAGTACCCACTCTAAGTGTTGTAGGTGACACTCCCAAGAGTCACTATAAACTAGAATGTCGTCAAAAAATACAAGAACAAATCTTCTTAATGCCGTTTGAAAAACCTTATTCATCAGACTTTGAAACGTGGCAGGCGCATTCATTAATTCCAAGGGCATTACTAACCATTCGTAATGTCCATGATGCGTGCGAAATGCTGTTTTGTGGCGGTCTTGCGGATTGATTAGTATCTGGTGGTATCCGGATCTGAGGTCCAATTTGGAAAAAAATTGTGCCCCGTGAAGTTCATCTAATAACTCGTCCACTGTTGGCATTGGGAAGCTATCCTTGATGGTTACACTGTTTAGAGCTCTGTAATCAGTGCAAAAACGCCAACTCCCATCCTGCTTCTTAACTAGCACTATTGGCGACGAAAAGGGACTATTGCTGGGTTTGATTATGCCCTGTTCCAACATTTCTTGCACCATTTTCTCGATTTGTTCCTTCTGGCTATGGGGGTATCTATATGGCCTCACCTTCACCGGTCTCGTCCCTTCTTGAAGATGTATCTCATGATTCTGCTCCCTTTGAGGTGGTAACCCAACTGGTGTTTGAAACACGCCTTTGTACAATTGTAACAACAGAGCTAACTCTGGCTCAATATTTGCAGGTAGTCCTTGCAGCACATCATGCGATATAACCGGATTTATCACTTCAATAGTGAAACATTCATCAATAGCATTAGTTTGTTGCATCCTACGCAATTGATGAAGTTGAGATTGTTGTGGTCTTTTGGAGTGCTCTCCTTGTTATAAACTTCCCTTGTTCATAGAACTTCAATGTAAGTGATGTGTAATCAGCAATGTGAGGTCCCAAAGTGGCTAGCCATGACGACCCCAGGATCAAATCTGCTCCCGAAACCGGTAACAGGTATGCAGGAACTATCAACTCATGGCCTTGAATTTGCACTTGTAATTGTTTCACAATGCCTTCCACTGTCAAGCTTTGTCCGTTCCCCACAAGCACCTTGAAATTAGGTGTTGTCTCAACCGGAATTTTCAAAAATTGAGCAATTCGTGGTTGTAAATAAGTATCAGAACTTCGCCCATCCACCAAAATCTGCACAGCTATCTTGGCCGATCTTGCCTGTAAATCTGATGGTGCCGACCCCACTATTGCCTTTCATTGCATTTAAAGGCAAATGGTGTTGTTCCTCTCCCCTCGCCGTCATCTTATCTATCTCTCCCGATGGGTCAGGGTCATCGTTCTCCTCGCCATCATCATCTAACTGTAACACCATAAGTCTCCTATTTGGACAACGATGTGTATGTGAGAACTTGTCATCACAAAAATAGCAGAGGCCCTTATCCCTGCGTAATTGCATTTCTGCTTGTGAGATGTTTCTTACGGCGGTAGCTTTCTGGTTGGGTGTGGGTAGCAATGGCGGTAAATTGGATTTGTTTGTGTTTATGGTATCAGGTTTGTTGGTGATTAAGCTTTATCTGTTTGTAGGTGACGAAGAATTTGTTTGGTTTTTACTTGGGTATGGTGTATATTTGGGTTTATTTAGGGTGGCATATTTTTCTTCATAAAGTTTGGCTAGGGCATAAGCTTTGGTAATGGTTGTCGGTGTTAGGGCGGTGACATCTCTTCGGATCTCGGGTTGAAGCCCACTTAGAAAACAATCCAGAAAGGCTTCATTACTAACTCCATACACCCTATTTGCTAAAGAATTGAATTCTTTATAATACTCACTCACAGATCTGTTTTGGGCCAGCTTGAACAGGGTAGCCCTTGGGCATTCATATGCAGTAGGCCCAAAATCCATTTCTAGAGCTCGTGTGAACTCTTGCCATGAATGAAACGGGCGTGACTGTTGTATCATCTGAAACCATGGCACTGCGTCGCTATCCAAATGTACTGATGCTATAATCAATCGATCTGGATCCGATGTATTGTAATAATTGAAGAATTGTTCAGCCTTGAAAATCCAATCTAACACATTTTTACCATCAAAACGTGGAAAATCAAGCTTTACAGATCTCATCTGGAATGGTGGCTTGCTCGAGTTCATGCTACCATGGGAAGACTCCGATTTGACCGTTGATTGCTTCATGAGGTTGTACAACGACTCCAGAGCGTCACTAATCTGATCAAAGCGTCCCGTATTTGAAGCATCAGCTCGATCCAGCTGTTCTCGCATCTCAAGCTGGATCTGTTCAATTGCTTCTGCGTTGCCCTTGCCGTCAGCTTGGAGCTCTTTGATAGGGTTGTCTGCCATGGGTGAATAAAAGCACCAAATGTTATGTACTAATGATAAGTGAAAGGATTGTTTACTGATAAATGAAAATCACCTTCCAAAAGGAAGAAATCAAGTACAGTGCAGGAAGAAATAAAAACTGAATGTAACAGAAGATTAATCAGAGAAAGAATAGTGATCACACACAATCCTAATATCCTCCTTATTCTAGATCCTCCTATATATATCCTTTCAAATGCGAATTTGGTGCACACACCCTGCACCCTCTTCTCACTCCCCCATCTGCGGAATTGGTTGCAACAGAATTTGCCGGGTCATCATTTCTTCCCCTCACGTCAGCTGTCGGTTTCACTACATACTATATATAAAACAACGACCAAAAAGTGGTCACATGTCAAACACTTTTTCATTTCTTCAATGGGTTTTTACACAGGGTTGTGATTTCTTTCAGACCTGTGCTTAAGCACGCGTAAACACAGCTAGTTTTATTGTAAAAACCCTTAATGACAGTTTTGTAGTTTAGGTCAAATATGTAGACAATCAAATTTAGTTGTTCCTGTTTTTTTCTTTCTATGCAAAAATACTGGCTGATTCTGGTTTGTTCACAAATTTCATTATATCGTTTTTAGGAGCTAACTTCAAGAAAGTCGAGCATCCAACAAGATATAGCATCCTTCAAGCAGAGGATTATTTTCATAGATAAGAGAGTCCCAGAACTTGAAGCAGAAAAGAAAGTTGCTACTGCTGCAAGAAATTTCAAAGAGGCTGCCAGAATAGCTACTGAGGCTAAATCACTGTGTGTTGAAAAAGAGGATATTCAGGCGGAAATGGATACAGTCACTTCAAATCTTGAAAAGCTTGAGGATGAAATTAAAGGCACCTTTGATAAATTGCAGGAGACTGAGGGAATGATCTTATTGAAGGAGAAAGAGTTAGCAATGGCTAAATATCAAAAGCTACTTTTGACAGCTGCTACTGCTAGAGCTGAAAAAAAGGCTGCCCAAGAAATGGGTGATACAGAAGAAGTTAATATCCTGCTTGCAGAAGCTGAGGCAGCTGACTGTGAAGCTGAGAGTATTCGATCAACATACAATTTCAAAGCAGAAGACGTTTCAAATTTACCAAAAGATTTGATTTCAATGGACCTTGTATCAATTATTGATAAAAAACAATTGGAAAAATTAGCTATCACTTCATCTGTTTAGCTGATTATCTAAACAAGATTTTAGTTGATTTACTGTAATCAAGAAACGTCTGTTCTTAGAAGTTACTGAAGTGCAGCATAAATATCCAACTTTTAAGATATGTGTGACGCATCTATTTACTCCCTCATTTTCTTTTTAGTCGTCACTTTTTGACTTTTTACAAATACCAATAAAACTAATTATTGTTGTTACCTTTTAAGCAATAATTTTTTCTTTTACATCTAACACCTTTAATTTTTTTATTATTTTAACTTACTTTTTCTCTCTATAATAAATAATTAGGGGTAATTTTGACAAAACTATTAATAACACTATTTTAAAATTTAAAAGTGATAATTAAAAAGAAACATAAATTTTTTTAAAAAATTAATAATTAAAAAAGAACGGAAAGAGTACATTTTAAAGAATACATGGCTCTACGCAGTTGTTGTGTTACGAAGTTACAGCGGAAAAAATTAGAGGCAATGAAGGAATAAGATAAATTGAATCGAAGAATAAAATTGATAGAGTGAAGACTCATTTTGGTCTCTCAAAAAAATTATATAATTCAAATTAATTTTCGAAAAAAAAAGATTTTATTTAATCTGTTACAAAATTAAACTATGTTATTAATTCCAGAATCACTTGACTCACTAAAAATGCATATGCGACGCATTGAGTGAGCTACTACAATAAAGTCTTATCCCACTAGGTGGGGTCAGTTAAATGAATCAATTTTTGCCGTAATGTTCTATTAAGAATTATGTTTCTGTTCAACTCATTAATTTTGAGATCTTTCTTAACAATTTCTCTTATAGTCTTTTTTTATCTTCTTTGAATTGTTTGTCTTCTTTCCATCTGACCTACTCTCCTTACTACAGAGTGTATAGGTCTTCTCTCTACATGCTCAAACCACCTAAATTTATTTTCTACTATCTTCTCTAGATAGGCGTTACTCCAACACTCTCTAATAATTTTATTTCTAATTTTATCCTGTCGAGTCTTACCCCACATCCACTGCAACACTCTCATCTCTGCTACACTTACTTTATTCTCGTGTTGTTTTTTAACCACCCAATATTTTGTCCCGTATAAATCACAGGTCTTACCGTAGTCCGATAAAACTTTCTCTTTAACTTGAGTGGTACCTTTCCATCACATAAAACACCTGATGCCTTTCTCCATTTAAACCATCCCGCTTGAATTCAATGGCTTGCATCTCCTTCTATTTCTCCATCATTCTATATTATGGATCCAAGATATTTAAATCGTGTGACTTGAGGGGTAATATGGTCTCCAACTTTCACCTCTGTTAGAAACACTACTTCTTTTGTTGAACTTACATTTCATATACTCTGACTCACATTTGCTTAAGCGAATACCATGTGTTTCTAAAACTCGTCTCCAAGTTTCCAACCTCATTTAACTCCTCCTTCGACTCTCTAATAAGGATTATATCATCTGCAAGAAAATATGCATCTCAGAGTTATCTCTTCGATGTGTTCCGTGAGTACATCCAAAATTAAGGTAAAAAGATAGGGGCTTAGGGTTGACCCTTGATGTAAATCAATTGTAATGGGAAAATGCAGTCAGGTGTTTAAGGAAGTATAAATGATCAAGGAGTAGTAACTCATGTCACAGAAAGAAACTTTTCCCAGAGTTCGATTACCATTAATGGGCGGCTTTGTGATTTCTTATGGGCGCAGGCTTCCCAGGTAATTCAATCTTATGGTTCCTCATTATCTGCATATGGTCTTTTTTTTCTTAGGCACCCATTTTGTATGAGATTTTAGTTTAATGTTTCGATTCAATGGACGTGGTTATTGGCAAGAACTTATTGAATCTGTCGTTTGGGCTTATAATAAATTAAAAGTTGCTCGTTTTACTCACCTTAGAGCCTTGAGCATTGTACAGGGACATGATGTAGGAGTAACACATTATCATCAGGGAGGAATTGCCACAACGTGGGCATTCTTCTTAGCAAGAATTATTGCAATTGGATAATGGCTAGGAGGATTTGAAACGCATTATGGAATTAAGATTTCTAAGGCTTAGCTCGGGATCCCACTACTTTTCGTATTTGGTTTGGTATTTCTACCACACATGACTTCGAGAGTCATGATGATATTACTGAGGAACGTCTTTATCAGAATAATTTTGTTTCTCATTTCGAACAATTAGCAATAATTTTTCTATGGACTTCTGGGAATCTCTTCCATGTAGCTTGACAAGGAAATTTTGAGGCATGGTTATAGGATCCTTTACATGTAATTTAGGATCCCCATTTTGGTCAACCGACAGTAGAAGCGTTTACTCGAGGGTGTGCTCTTGGCCCAGTGAATATTTCCTATTCTAGTGTTTATCAGTGGTGGTATAAAATTGGTTTATGTACTAATGAGATTCTTTATATTTGATCTATTTTTCTATTATTTCTTTCTTTCATATCCTTATTATTGGGCTGGTTACATCTACGACCAAAATGGAAACCAAGCATTTTGTGGTTTAAAAATGCTGAATCCTGCCTCAATCATCATTTTTCAGGACTATTTGGAGTCAGTTCCTTAGCTTGGGTAGGGCATTTAGTCCATGTGGCTATTCAGGGGAGAATATGTTCGATGGGATAATTTCTTAATTGTGTTGCCTCACTGTTAACTGGGAATTTTGACTATATGAATGTTGAGCTGAAATGATACATTCCTGGAAGAAATTTAGTTTGGAAGGAAGCATGAAGGAGATCTTATGAAGATTTCGATAAATAAAGGCTAGTAAGAATTTAATTTCACTAAAGTATTGGCGAAAGGTTTCTTTATGAACCGTTGGAACTTAATTTATTTTAAGTATTGTCAGAATAGACACTTCGATTGTCAAGTCTATACTGTTTGGAACTTCGAAGACAAAAGAGTTTTCAAATTTGAAAGTTTAATCTTATCCAAACATACGCGTGGAGGCCTGAAGAGATTCGAAGAACATGCAGCAACAAATGTGGTAGTTTTTCAGTAGTTGACCGTTAGGGTCGAATTAATATAAAATATAACCTTAGTGTTAGTTTTCTGTGTGTTCACATCTGTAATACGGTGGGAGAATTGACTTGGGTATTTTGCGTTTGATCGCAAGTATTGCGGATAGCAAGAGTCGCCACCGACTTTTCTTTTATCCAATAGAGGAAAGAGTGAAAAGAATAGGAAAGACCTTTTTGAGAATTTTCTTGAGTTCGGGGGGTAGGTTATAAAAAAGGAAGGTATTAGCACCCTTTTCATCCGTAGTTATCTACGAGCTCTTATTTTCTAGCTCACTTTGAAATGCTTTGTAAATATGTTTGTGTAAGTTTGAAAATATTTTGAAAACGCCTTTGTTTAGGAAAACTTTGTAATGATTATCGCCTCTATAAAAATGTATACAAAGTGTTGGTTTTGAAAATAGTTCAAAGAGATGTTTGTTTTTGGAAAGATTTTTTGAAAGTGTGAGTGTGTTGAAAGATGTTTTGTTTTGAAATGTTTGTGATCAAGCAACTAGGAGCGTTCTACCTACTCAAAAGAAGTCTTTGTTCTTTTCCTCCTCCTTTAGATAGTGTTATCTTACCATTAGTTAGTAAGAAACCTTATCATTGGATGTAAAGGGACATGCGTGGGTCATCGTACAATCATAGAAGGCAACATTGTAGGATACTGTTGTACCCCAAAATTTTCCTTCTCACTTATCAAGAATTTTCTCACAAGATCTCCTTGGGCTCAAGACTGCACTAGGATTTGATCAGCTCAAGACATCTCCTTAAGCACTGATGACCAAAATTAGGATTTGAGTTTGCACAAGGATTTTTGAACTTTCAATGCTTCATATGACTTTCATGGATCATTATGGACCCCCAAGATTACTCATGTCAAGTTTCAAGCCTTGGATCACACTTTTGATAAGTCAATTGAACAGTTGACCTAAAAATCAGTTGTATTGGGGAAAAAAGTCAACCATGGCCAATTTACAGTCAAACCCCATAATTTTTTATCCACATCAATATTTTTACCCACATGTATCATTTGATCAAGTTTGGACCATAATTCCTCAAGAAATTTGATCAAATCTCCAAAAGGGCAAAATGGTCAAAATTAGGGTTTTGACTGGGAAAGGGCAATTTTTGATTTTTGACCTTGCAAATGGTCAATTGGTTTAAGGAATGATCTCAAGAGTCCAATTCCATCATTTTGACCTAATGACATGATTCAAAACATTGCAAATCCATTGGATTGATAGATGAATTTTGCAGTCAACTGATCAAAAGTCAACTGTATACTGAAAAGTCAAACTTTGACTTTTTTTATCAAATTTAAGTACCAAAGATCACAATTCATCAAAACATGTCAAAATATGAAACTTATTCATCAAGAAATCAAAAAGTCAAGATTTCATTTTGAAAAGTCAAAATTTCTAAACTTAGAAATTTTTCTAAGTCTTGAAAATTCATGTTTTTTCATAACTTTGAGCCAAATTTTCACCATGATACAAGATGATTCAAAGGAAACTTCCAGCATGAAAGTTGTATATCTCCATGAAATCTACTACTTTGCTTCACACAACTTCTTCCAAAACTGGTTGGATCTAAATTTATAATTTTATGAATACATGCTCATGAACCAAAAAGACTTGGTGAGATTTTCCCTAGTTAGATAGATTTTTTGACCTAACTTCATGGCAATTTTTCACATAGTTCCAAGGGTAATATTAAAAATCAATTCAAATATAGGTTGTATAGAATATTGCAAGCTTTCAAAAATGTCCAAGAACTCCTTGAGATCATTCTTGAGTAGGGAGAATCGAAGAGATGAAGTTGGTGTTTTGTCACTTGAATTACAAGTCATTTTGGATGAACACATGAACCAAATCAATGTTAGGCTGCATAATATTTGCTTTGCATGCCTCAAAATTGTTTGTCACTCCATAATTAATGGATTACACAAACTTTTGAGCTATAATCCAAGTGATTTAAGCTTTATCCAATTCACATTGCCATTTTGGGAAGAAAGTTAACA